ACACTGAGGGTGTGCGTGTGTTGCATTGGGATGTAAAGTGACTAACTTTACATCCCAATGGCAAAGTTTCACTACACAGAAAGGTCCTCACCAAAAGGAACATTCAAACCATGTGGGTATGCGAGCAGAATTTCATACTTTCTGTTCAACATCATGACTGGTTTGGAACTCAAGAGAAACACAGTGGTTGCCTGTTCAGCTAGCCTAGTGGGTGTAGTGTGGCCATTGCTACTGAAAGTAGCAACATCTGCCACAGAGATGTACAGTAACACCAGCCACAGGCATGTTAACTGTAGCCCATGACCCGTAAATGTAGGGCCATTGTCCACTGCCACAGTACTAACTGAAATGTTCTGTCTCTGCTTCTGTGTGTCTCTTTCAGTCCGTATAATTACAGCTTCACCCTCCACAGTAATTAGGGACTATTTCAACAAGGATGTGGAATGTCTCCATCTATTTTCCCCTCTCTTCATCTCCTTCTCTCTTCCACCCCCACAATAAAGCATTTTAAATGTTTTCTATAATGCTAAGAACATCCTTGTGTATGCTGTTTTTTGTGGTGGATAAGTAATATTTTGGACAATAGCCATGTTAACAAGGTGACTTCAAAATTAACCTTTTTTCTGTCAGCAACAGCTACGAAGCTTCTTTGCAGTCAATAATACAGTGTAGCCTTGGATTTAGCACTGAGCTTCTCCAGTCTCCGTCCTTGAAAAAGCAGTGATGAGTAAAAGAAAAGAGAGAATGTCTCTAAACCATCCGCCCCCGGACGTGCAGAGAAGGTGGGTGTGTGGAGCAATAGTCCTCTCTCTGCATCGCAGTCAAAGGCACAGGGAACAAATCTGCTGTTCCACAGGCAATGAATGTTATGATATCTCCTGTAGTGCATAATGCAATCTTTTCAAGGCCCCAGGCACCGGCAGGCATAAACTTGTTGAAACACTATATTCTGGAGGCAGATGTTCAGGAGCTGAAGTCATTTTAAACTCCATTAAATTGCATATTATAAAGGCAAGTGGCGTCTGATGTGATATACTGCTAGAAAAAGAGTAAATAAAGTGATGGGTGGCGTCATCATTCAAGTGACTGCAGACAACTTCTGAATGCAAGACCACAGGGACAAGACAGAGCACTGTATACACAGCGGGTTGGGTTGGTTTACTCTGGACCCCTTATGGAAGCATTTTTCCAGGTTCAACATCTCACATTTATCTCTTTCTAAAAACAAACTACGTAACCTCCCCTTCTCACTCGCCTTCTCCAGGCCTTCACCAACTGCAAGTATTTTAGCACAATGATATGACAGGAACACATAAGAATAATGGCACGTTGTTGCTAAGAGACCACCTGTTCAGATCTCCCACATGAGATTGTGGTGAAACTGTAGTCCTCTTATCATTATCAGAATATCACTCAATGGAGTGTAGTGAATGTCACGACAATATTGAAACTGAGAGAGAAACCAATTATATAACAAGACGTCTTTTAGGCAGAAAAACTGGATCAGGGTTTGCTTTAATCAAACAGCGTAGAGCAGCAGTATCACACTCGTGACATAATACAGATACCATAACCAGAGAGTATCGAGTATCATCCAGCGTTCACTTCAAACAACTGTTTTGCTTTCCTCTTAACAACTATTTGAGAAAACGGCATTCACCTTTTTCCAGGCTGTGTTGACAATTAGGGAGTGGTGTTGCATGGGAAAATGAGTGTTTAGTCCTGAGGGCTGGTAGAGACGGGACACACCCTTCTATTCGCTTACCTGCCAGGGTGTGCTCAAAGCCTGCATTGCATGCACCGGGCCCAGAACACATATTTCCTATGACAAAGCCTCTGAATAAGTACAAGTAGAAGCCATGTTGTGCTTAAGGGTGTGTTCAGACACTTTGCTTCCATGTAACATCCACTTCCTTTTAACTCTTTAGGAGAAAAGTTTAAGGTGGAAATCATGGTAGCGATTAAAAAGGTTTCATTACCGACTGATATAACACACAACCCCATTCTTCTTCAGTCTCTAGTCTGATTAATCTGTTTGTTCACTTCAGTTTGTCCTCGCCCCTCCCCACCGGTCAGGGCAGGTCGGCGCTCAGACTTCATCCATCGGCATGTTAAGAGGCTTGACCTGGCGCACAGACACCCAGCAACACGGGCCAGCTGGTGGAGATGCACACACACAAACACACAAGACACAAACACGCGAGCACTGAGTGTCAGTCTTAACTATCTGTCTCACCCGGTCAGCACGGGAATGACTAGATACCATTCGCCACGTCTGGAACTGCCTGTCTATGTGAGGGAGGAGAATGGAAATGAGTCACACAGGATCACACTGGGATTGCTGGGTTTTACAGGGTTGACTCCTCTGTTGATTAAGATAAAGTCATGTCAAAAAAACTAAGGAGTGCCTCTGCCCTTTCACCAAAGGAACAACCCCAGCAGTGAGATTCTGAATCTCCTGTCTAGCTCTGCCTACAGTCCCAGCCCTGTTAAACACACACTCAACTGGGCTAACATGAGTCACAGCAGCAGAGTTACCCCCCTCTTCTCCCCTGCGATTACTCAGTATCTGCCCAGCTGCTGGCTGCAATGACTTTGCAGCCGCCGTATGTTTTTTACGTCTCCTGTTCCTCAGGAAATGTCTGCTCGCATATAAAGCAGACAAACACATTTACAGTACAGTCTACAGAGGCGTTCAAATGTGTATCGAGGAGAGAAATGGGGACAGGCCAGTGCTGTGGAAGTTAAAATTCCATTCACCCCCCCAGAGTTGATGTTGGGCGACTAGCAACAGTCTTTATTTTTAATCATCTGTGTGAACAATCAGCAACTTCATTATAAAAAGGTGCCGTTACTAATGGAGTGAACTGGGGTCATGGGGTGGATTTTGGATACATTTTCCCATCATCTCAATTACTTACATAAGTCACATAATTTGTATCTAATTTTAATACTTATGCAATAAGCCTAGCAGCTTCAACCATTCCCTCAATGTGGCTGACAAGCCCATGAAATTAAAGTTGACAGTCTGCACTTCAAACTCAGACAATGTGTCATTTTGCATCCAAACTAATAGCAGCAGATTTCAGACGCCAAACATGCCGATTACACCGCCTATCCCTGTAGTAAAAGGCCATCATTTCTTACAAAAACAAGTGTGCTCGTGAGCGCATAAACATGCAGAGTACTATGAAAGACTAATGCTTTTCATCACCAAGTCAAATTAAACCCGCCTCTTTAAATATTAAAGCAGACTGAGAAACTTGCTCTTACACTGCAGGGGGAAAATAAGCAGCGACTACAGATAACACTCTCTGTGACCTTCCTAGCTTTTGCCAAGAGCTCAGATCCCCCGAGTGGAAGTGGGACTCTGTCTCTCCACTCCACTGCCCATCAGCGTTCCTGGCTGTCAGGACTCTGACGGGGTGCTTTCACCCCAGAGACCGAGTCCCTGCTGCTGGGCTTGCACTTGAATGAGCAAGACCATTAATGCAAGGACCCCTTCTCACCAACGGTTCGGGATCCAGACACCTACAGTGTGTCTATGTTGATTAACCCAAATTAGTAGGTGTTAACACATGGACAAACCCCCGACAGAGCGTAGCATTCAATTCACAATGAGAAGGATACACTGTAGGCTGTGTGACCAATTCGGCACAGAAATAGCCACCTGAAACATTTGCTTCCCCTGTTGGCTCTAAAAGAAGCACCAGTCAGTCTCTGCTCATCTGACCTCCTTTCTGATAGATGTCTATTCCCTGCAGGAGTGCAAGCAGCTACCCTCCACCCGTTTTTGGCCTTCTGTTAGGGGAACTACAGCTGGCTTAGGGCGCAGGGGGCAGCTATAAGTAGGGTAACATTTAAGGGTTATTACCTGTAAATAACGACGGGGAAAATACTGAAAGAGACCTCCTTGAGTATCAGTGAGCTCTAATCAAAACAGAAACCTGAGAGTATTTCAGGTGTGGAGCCCTCATAACGTTTAGTTTAGTTAACACGAGTGCCTGCTGTGAAGTGAACCAAAGCCCAAAGTAAGCTTTAATGAATTAAAACAATCACTGCTGAAGCAAGTAGTTGATTAATGGATAAATTAATCTGCAACCATTTTGCTAATCAAACATTTTTGATTCAGTCGTGTATCAACCAACAAGGATAAGCATTGGTACAGTAGTTAATGAATGACAACATTTACCCCACATTAGCTGCTTCTCTTTGTTTTATATCATTTTAAATTGAAGACATTTTGGTTTTGGACTGCAGGTTGGACTCAATCTGAAGAAGACATTTTTCACTCTACTTCTGCCATTTCATAGACAATAAGATGCCACAATTAGTAGAAAAAATATTCAAAAAGAGCAAGCCCCAATAGCAAACCATTCTGTTCTTTTATTACTTACTGGGAATCTTTTTTTCCCAGTACTGAGGCTTAACAATTGCACGCAAAGTTCTCACAGGTTTTTATGTAGAACAGGTTTGAATGTTGAAATCCCTATGGGGCAAATGTTTACTTGTTGCAACAGATAAGCCCAACCTTCTCCGCCAGTCAAACACTGACTTCTGGAATGTCCCTAATTCAACAAATAAACTAGGCTACAGAAACACACTGGTATCTAATATCTCAGACTACTAGCAGCGCAGTAGACTAATAAGAATACATTACAGGCCTGGGCTACATGTAGGGGCAGAATGAGTGAAAGACTTTGATTTGGGGAGGGGGGAAATTATCTGAGAGTTGTTGTTTCAGCATCAAACCTGGCGTCGCAAAAAAATTATGTGGAGGTGGAAGACAGAGCGTTTTGGTAAATTGGCAACTGATTAAAAAAAAAAAATCTACAGCGCCTCTCCCTAAACAGATTATCGAAGAAGAAAAAAACCACACGGCTCTGAATGCGTCTGGACCAATAGACACTAAAGTCTAAAGGAATCTCAGTGTGAGTCTGACAGCGGAAATCATATAATCATGTGAATCTCAAAAACTTTATTCATTAGTTGAACCTTACCTTATAGACATTTTCCGTCAAGCGGTGAACCTCGTCGGTGCGAGACATCGTGAAATCTTCAGCCAGGACCATAAACGGTTTTTTCCCTGAAACGTGTATCCGCGAAAAAAAAGGAGGTGAAAATGTTTTAAAATACGCGAGTTTTGGTCAAACAAAAGGCGAGGCAATGCGCCCGTGAGAGTGAGAGACGATGCTGCGCTCCCGAAACCAACCGCACTTCAACTAAACACACCTTCCCTCTCCACAGCTGACAGCGCGCTGCTGCCTTCACGGACGCCTCGGGGGCTCGGTTTTTCTTGCGGTCTCAGACGCGAGGGCAGTAGTAAAGTGAAACACGTCAACTGTGAAATATGGTACACTTGATAAGGAATACGGCACATACGGTGCACCAATGGTAGGCTGGATAGGAGATGTTCCTATATTGATCGCGATATATTACACAAACAAAATGACTGTAGGCTAAAATGTAAAAAAAAAACAAAAAAAAACAAAACAAGGTGCTAATAAAAGATACCATTTGCCAAAGGCTATATTATAATGAGTCAGTAGCATACAATAAATCACTACCGTGTTGCCATGGCTTCCATACTACAGAGCGTTTGTTCACATGAGCGCTCAAACCGTAAATCCAACATTTCCTACAGCATTATAACGCAGCACCATCTTGTCAAAGAGCAGTTGTAGTGCCCGCCCCCCATATTTCTGTACCAATTAAACTCCAGCATTCCTTTAATATAGACATTATTATTTCTCTACAAATAACACATAATATTTAAATGCTGTTCTTGCCCTGGGGAGAAAAAAAAACTCTCTTTAGAGATTTCCCTGTTAATATTGACTCTTCTAATGTGTGAGCTTAAGACACAGTTCCACTCTAAGATTTACATCCATCTAAAACAAATGGCCCAATAGGCATATATGGTGCATTTAGTTGTTTTCTGCCTGTGCCCGTTAAAGCCCTCGCACGCACTGCTGCTGTCTTATGAGTAACCTATAGAATGATGTGCAGTACAGGATGTATCTCTTCTTTCTGCTTACAAAAGAAGACTTTACGCATATATAACTGCATTGCGTAAGGCTGCAAGCGAGTCATGCTCTGACTGACTGTTTTCAGTAACACCATAGGTGATGTTTTTCTCACAGTGGATAATTTGTGTTAGCTTCATTGTACATACTAATTAGAGTCTAAGTGCCCACTTAGTGTAGGATTGTAAATACTATATTGGCTTTCTTGTCTAAACATCTCCCACATATCAGCAACATGAGCTTTCTACTTTCTGTCAATAACTACACACACACACACTCGTTACTGATGGGATGTGAATGAAGACACCTGTTTTGTGTACTGAGTGAAAAAAACAACCAAAAACTAGCAAAGACTGCCCCCTTCTGGAGAAAGCATGACACACAAATTGAGAATGTGAACAGAATAGTATGATACTCATTGATAACCTTTTTAAAAATCATAAAAAGGTTTGTGAAAGAAAAACCAAGAAAACACATTGTTGCCACAGCTCAGTTTACTATGGAAAACCACTAAAATCCATGTGTAAAACATTTAAAAATTAGTCCTTTCCTTCTGTTAAACCAAGTGAGAAACAGAGAGACACGTCCTGTTTGTTCAGGGAAGATGTGAACCAGAGTACAGACACAGTGCTGAACCTGTAAAATGTGTAAAGGTGCTCTGATGTCTGCAGGTCCTACCTTCACCTACTAACAATTAAGGATGAAATACTGAAATGAACAGAATTCCGTACAAAGACTCCCAACCACAAACTCAGTCTGTTAGGCAGCCAACATTTCTCTGTCCGGCTTGTTCTTTGCTTCTCTCCTCTCTAGAAAAGAGAGTAAAACAAATATGATCAGTCTGGCATCAATTACAAATACATCAAGTGTGTAAGGAATGCTTTGTGGTGTGAAAAAGTGTACCTGGTTCAGCTTTAGCTGCCTCTGGGACTTCCAGTATTGGCTCAGTGGGGACCTCTGGAAGTGCTACATCGTCTCCCTGTTTGAGAAGAAACAAAATGAGTTGTAACAAAAAGATTACATTGACCGACTAGAGAAGCACAGAAACATTCCGTTGGAACATCCAGAACATTTGTAGATACGCTGTTAAAAGGAATATCGCATTGCTTGCTCCCTTTTTGTCAAATTGAGAAGAATTAGAATCTGTGTCTGTGTTCAAGCATGGAACATAATAATTTGCGTGGTTTGTGTGTGTCATTTTGAATAATAATTAGATGAGAAGAAGAAAAAATCTGCTGAGGTTTTAATTATTGTCAATTACACAGCCTACTATTTGATATGAATAATGATATCGTGGCTTCCTTCAAAATACTTTGCTAGAATCATTCCTCTCCTCAACAGACAGATACAGTTCACAAATCTGAGGTCTAAATACCAACATGCATTTTTTGACATGAAATCCCCACTTGACTCTGAATCACAGCTTTAGCCACAGCACTGCTCCAGTGGAAGTGCTAAGTGGCAAACAGCTGAAGCCTGTGGCTACACCAGGCCTCAGTGTGTGTGTGTGTGTGAAGTGGGGTGTTAGAGGGAAAAAAGCATGCACGCTCAGCAAACATTCTTCGTATTAATAAAGGTTAAACATCAACACCCACCTGAGTGATAGCTTCCAGCTCTGCTAAAACAGCGTCCTCGTCCTCCTGAGTCAAGGCTCCAGCCAGCATTTCATCTATTTGCTGCAGGAGCAAAAAAAAAAGTGTCAGCTCACAGCGCAGTGACAGCTCAGTCTTTTGGCTGACTTGGTGTAAATATGGAACAGTTATCCACGGATAATGTCTGGGAAAGTTCAGATTTAACTAGCATCCTCTAAACATACAGTATATTATAATATATAGTATATATAAATATTGGTTTTAATAAACAATTATTGGAAAAGCAGAAATAGCTCTGAACAGGTGTACATGACTGACATCAAGCAGACGTTTACCCTTTGATATTCAATTGACTCGTGGGTCTCATCCAGGATTCTCTCCACATCTTCCACTGACATGATCTGTCATGAGCAAGAAAAGGAAGCCCGTATTACAGAAGAAGAATGTTTTGGATGAAAAAAGTGTTTTTCCACATATTCTGGCTGGCTTGTGAATTTCGTGAGGAAGATCGGTGCACTGTATCCAAGGATGTGCAGCAGTCGCACCGCTGTAGTCAAGGCTTTGCTTCTTAATCCTTTAATCTTCAAACAATGTGCACCAGCTATGCTAACACAAAACCACAAGCTTTCACTGGTGCTCAGTCCTCACCCGAGGATCACATTAAAGAAAGTGTGCTCATCAGTGGAAACTTTGATATTGCTTAAGTATACACTCACATATATAGAGCTTAAGGGGGTATTGTTATCAATGTGAAAGCCATATTTCTATACACAAAAGGCAGGAAAAATACACAAAAGCATATCTACCTCGTGCATACTCTTCAGACAGTCGTTGCCAACTTTGAGCCCCTCGATGACTTTCATCTCAATTTGCATGAACTCAATATCTTGAACCTGTTGACACATATTAACATGCACATATTTGTTGATGATCAAAAAACCGTTTGCTCCATTAATTCTCTCATACAACACTGACTACATAATGCTTCAGTATGTTTTATACATGTATTATTTCAACACCAATACTGATTCTGAGATAGCCATAATGACAGCACTCATTCTTTACACATTTTTGCAGCTCAGATTTAGGTTGATCAGAAAACCTGCTTGACTGAATTAAATAGCACATAGAGAGATTACAGCATTGAACAGGAAAAGATCAGACATTTGACTACATATTTAAGATCACATTGAACCCTCTGAGCTCTGATTTGGTAGCTTAAATAAACGTGATGGCATCAAACAGTGTAATATCATAAAAACTTACCATGCGCTCTAGGTTTGAAATCTGATTTTCAGTCTTGTCTAGAAGCTGATCCTGATATCGTTTTTTCTTAAGAAGCAGCAGTGCTTTTCTGCAATCACCAAATAGAAAGGCAACATATAATAAAAGCAAATGCTATGTTGTTAATAAAAAGGCTTTCACACCACATAAAACAGACACAGTTACAGAAAAAATGCCACTGAGGGGTCTGCACCTCAGAGGTGCCAATGTCTGTGAGAAGTCATACAGGGTCCCTACTGTCCCTTACTTATAGGACACTGTAGTACTCTAGCAATACGTTGATCAACCTTATGTATTATGTCTCATTAATGACCTGTTTTCACATTTGCACTGCCTGCCTTCATCGTGGTGACTACATGATGACAGATCTGAACTGACTGACTTGTTTTTTTTTTTCAATGCTTACTCTTTCTTGCCATCTTTTAGCAACTGCTTTGCCAGAAGTCGCTCTTTGTCCAGTTGAAGGGAGATTCTCTTTTGGTACTGCTTCAGCTTATCTCTCTGTTGCTTCAATTGCTGGGGGGGCACAAAGTCAGGTATATTTGAACATGTAACAGCATACCCTACATGCACCATTCAAACTGATAAAAATAGAGAACTATAAAATCGAGTGGACTGATGCACACAGTAGTGAGATAGAGCAACATTAATCTCTGTTATTGTCCCCAGCGCTGTAATGTAACGGGGCTAATCTGCAGCTACAGCCGCTATCAGCTCACCAAAATGGCTTTGTCTTGTTCCGTCACACGAGTAGGGCGACTCTTTCTCCCAAAAACGTTGCCCATTATTTAGCCACATCCCCTCCACATCCTCCTTCGTCAACTGACAAGGTATCACTGTTCGCCGAACATTTGGCCGAACAGCCTAAAATGGCTAGCAGGCTAACTGGCTCACCACCATGGCCACAGTTTTTCCGTGTTTCCTACGGCAAGCGAGGAAGGACATTCCATCGGTCTGTTGGTACGTGACTTCGACGAGCATTTTGTGGGTGCCAGCATCCTGATAGAGCAGCCAAATCACAACTAGGGTGATACAGGGATATCAGCAGCACACACACAGGCCCACAGACAACACATTTAAAAAGTAAGAAAAAAGGCTGATGAGATAAATGAGTTGTGATAAAAACAAAAAAAACAGCAGAATGAATCGCCATGCTTCCTAAAATATCATTAATAAAAAAATAATTAATTAATTGATTAATTAAAAATAGTACCTGGCCATCAGCATGGCCTACATGTTGGGTACCTTGGATAGCTCCAGACTCTCCGGGGGGGGTTCCAGGATCAGCACCTTGGACAGCGGTCAACACACTTCATGCAAAAACCTTCTGAGATTGACCCACCTCCACTGAACAGGCAGACAGGAGGATGACACAGCCTGTGGGTTTATCTATTGATAGTGTTCAGAGGTTATCACAGCTGAACGTAACATTGGTTTACATTGGTAAAACTTCCAGTTTACCAGAGTTTACCATTATAACTGTATTTTGTTTATACTGTTTTTAACATCAACCCAACACTCACATCCATTAAAATGCACTCCAGGATACTGTTGGGTGTAGCTATGGGTGCAACAGAGCACAGGAAGAGACAAACAGGTGAACAACTAGTGTCTGAGGGGCAGGGGCGTGAAAAGTAAAAAGACTACACCTCTGTAATAAAAACACACAGGGAACTAACCATTTACCCATTTAGAGGCACATAGAGGCCAACTAATTTTCTAGCTTGAAGGGCAGCCTATGGCTCTGCATCATGTTTTCTCCACTGGAGGGACACCCTAGAGGGAGCTTTACCACGTTTTCTTCCACATTGGCAACCACAGAGGGAACTTTATCATGTTTTATCTACAACAGGGTTAGGTAAGAGGGCTCTTTTGCTGTGTTTTTTTTTATTTTTTTTTACATGAGGGAACTAGAGCTTTCCACTAGAGAGGTTGTTGTTATTTAGCTTGGTTACACTTTAATTTTGTGACTAAAACAGGTCGTTCTAGGAAGCTGAGACACATTTTCTACCAGTTTTTTAGTTTGAAGGGTATTTTCCTTCGTGACAGCATACTCAAAATCACAATTAGCCTAATCCCATTATTACAGGTCATTCTAGGCTATCAGACTGACAGTGAAATATTAAACAATCAGTAGTAAATAAAGAAAGACACAGCAGCACACACACATCTGAATACAGCATTTATGGTCCAACATTATTGTAGTTTTATACATTATCTAAAACAGAAAACAGCATATAGCAGATCTCTCAAACACTTCTCTTTCTCAAGATACTGGGGGCAGATGGATCTAAAAACAAACTTTAAATTTCAGCATATTCAGTTTATATTTTACCAGCTGCGTCATAGCTCAGTGCCTGGAGCTGAATTAAATTCCATTCTATTGTGCTCATTTAGTCCAGGAGGGTTTTTCTGCACATGCAACTGTTATAATCTCCAAATGTAACAAAACAATAATAAACCCCTCAGCTATGACTCATCCCTGATCAGCAGGCCATTCATTGCAGTATAGTATTTCAACAAGAACAAAGAGATGCTTAAACCTGTGGCAGTTACATACTGAGAAAGATAAAAGTAAAATGTATCATCAACTTCATAGAATCTTTGGCAGGTATTATTTAGAAAAGTGGAAAATAGGGCGTTTATAGCACCAATAAAAATTACACAAAGGCCTAAAATTTGACAGAATTAAATTACTGCCAAATAGTAGGGGTTTTGCAAAAAATCTAAATGCCAAGATGGAAGGTCTATGAGTCATATTCAGCTATCCCACTTCACATCAAAATACTGACCATATTGATGATCATATCCATGCAGGCCACCAGAATACAGGAAAAAGCAAAAAACATTTTTTTATCGAATCAGTTCTTGTTTTGGCTCACAGAAATGCTTACACTGGCGCATCAGTGTTTCCATATATTACAACAACATCAACAACAGTCTTGAAATGAACCTGTACAGGTTGACTCTGTTCAAAACTGCATGCAGGGCACTGCACTGGTGTGTTACTGAGGTAATTGTCTCTTGTGGCCTGCTTTCCTGTCTCAGAATGGGACAGCTGGGCTGCAGCTCCCTTAAACAGGATTATGCCGTGAAGACAGCCTCCTTGGTAAGGACCAATAGTCTCAGACAGTGCTTCTCTGAAAAGGATTCAGTAGGTAGCAGGCTACACCTGGAAGTCAGTCCCAAAGTGTCTGATTTGGGCATCAGTCATAGATAGATACGGGGTCCTCATACTGGGCGAATACTGCAAGGGAAATAATTGAAAAATACAATTTAGCACACTTGCATTTATAACAACAGCATATTAAAATATCAAAATAAACACTAAAATGGTCTGACTTAATCTAAGTTTGGGGAGTATGTATTTTGACGATGAGCTGTGTAGAGAGGAGTAGGTTAAGAGCAGACAGAAGAAGTCAGGGGTCACAGAATAAGTTACACTCACATGTAACACTTTGTGGACAAAACAGTGCCAGGAGGTCACACAGCTGAGGTACTGTATGGAGCTTACAGGGGTCTTATAGAGTAGGTAAAACATTCTGTAGAGCAAGCATCATTACTGAAGTAAGCGTGTGTTTCAGGAGTGGAATGAAGATGAAATCAAACAAATCAGGAAGAAGGTAGGCAACAAAAAACTTACGGTTTTTAAAAGTCTGAGTTAAAAAAAACGAAAATAACGACAGAGTTAGTTACAAAACACTGATTTATATTCAGCAACTAGATACCTCATTGTGAAACCACTTACATAAAAGCATGAGTGAAATGCATTGCAGAGCTGATTCACACAAAAAATCATACACTGCAGTATTGTTAATGTACTGCAAATATCTTTTCCATCTCTGTTACATGAACAAATAAAAAACCCATGCCAGTGCCTGTTAAAAATGTGTCTTACTGAGGCAAGCTAAAATTTTAAACAATCGTCCACATTCTTTCTCTCTTTCTCTCTCCCTCAAAAAGATGTTTCAAGTCTTTGGTACGCTGCGAATGCAGTTCAAGCGGTGAGTCAGCCATGCAAACAGAAAACTTAATAGAAAAGAAACTTCACCTAAAAGAAACTTTAACTGTGGATTTATCAGTGTTATCTATTATAAACCACATTTTGTAGACTGTGAGTTCCACCATTAAAATTAAATATCTGCACTGTCTTTATTCGACAAAAAACCCACGTTCATTATTTTACACACACTTTAATGTATGCATTAGTTTTAACCATTAATTGGAAAGAATTAGAGACATAATCCGGATAAAGCAGTGGTGAAAAGGACATGAGCTCAGAGCTTTGCAGAGAGCGTGTTTGCATGCAGGGATGAATGCATTTCAATCAATGACCAGCAGAGAGCAGTCTTTCATCACTTGCAAAGCAATATCACTCCCCTCACTAAGTGTTGACTGTGTCAGTTTCTGTACACTGTATACGTATTGTTTTGTTCATGGTGCTGCTGTGCATGCTTTCTGTTAGTGTGGCAGCAGTGTTGAGGTCAGTGGTGCCATCATCCTCATCACACTAGGGACACTAGAGCCTCATAAGGCCAACGCACCGAGGGCGGCGGGGATCCTCTCCCTATCAGCGGTACATTCTCATATCGAGGACTCCCTCCAAACAGCATGGACTGATTCCTGCGACAGAGAGGGAAAGAAAGGCGGTAAGGGATGAAACACACATATACTCATATACATTATCATCTACTGATCTTACATGTATTCAGGAGGTGGTACGACATTAGAAGCAGATTGTGGAGGTGGATGAAGGCTGGCCTGGCTACCAAGGCTGCTCGTATAGCTACAAAAACTGTGGATGTTGGACCTTCTGAGGTTGTAGGATGGCCGCCGCGCTTGGGGGTTGAATGGGTCCTCCTCATCTATATCATCATACTCTTTGTCTCTGGATGAAAGTAGGATCACAACACACAAAGACAGAAACAGAGAGAGTGCATGCGTTAACACTTTGCAGGAGTGCATTGTGGGTAGTACATAATGGGATAAAGGGGTTGCTTGGTGCTGACCTGCTGCCCATTAGTGTCCACACTCGGAAAATTGCACACAGCATGACGGAGAGTGAGCAGGCAGCCAGCAGAGAAAACAAAGAGAGGTAGAGGAGCCCTTCCACCCCATCATAGCACACACCCATTAGGGCATCCAAGTAGTCCTAGAAGAATGGACACAAAGGTATATGTATAGTACAGTAAAAAAATATTATCTTTCACAAACAACAGTCCTTTCTTAGCAGAGAACTTGTTTGTAGTTTATATTCCTCAAAACGCACAAACACTAAATTCATAAACAAATTCAAAAGTAATGATTTGAGTTATGTGGTTTAAAGAAAAACATGAGCACTCTGATTGACTCTTACAAAAACATGTCATTCATATTCTGGAGGCTAACCTAACCGTACTTCAAACCGAAACATAACTCAACAATTTTCCTAACATTATCCTTACTCCAGTGAAGATATAAATTGTTCTTTTGCTGAACGGCTGCAGTGAAAAACAAAGTAGGAGCACCTTACTCTTTCTTCTAAAATAATTTCAAAAAAGCAACTGCAACCTTTTACAACAGACAAAGTGTCTGCAGAAACTCTCATGTTATTTTGATTGCAGGCAAGTTAAAATGCATTTTTGTTTACCCTGCTTGTTATATCTGAGTAATCACTAACAAGCTCTGCGAACAGTCTTGACATTTGCATGCTTGTGTATGTCGTTATCAAGAACTATTTAAAGTGTATTAGAGCTTCCTCGCTTTTAAATGTAAATAGTGTACATTACTTGCACGCATGTTGGCCTCCCTGCCCACCAAACCTTCACTATATCTTATCTTTACACTTTTGTTAAGGAATGACACGCCTACATGCAGTATTCATTACAACTGTCACATGAAGGATCTATTGATCTGAAAGCCTAAATCTGATGTTACAATCACACCAGCAAGAAAGGCTCATTTCAGCACTGAGATGTCTTATTCTCTTTAGAGATAAAACTCTGATGATATGAAACCTGCAAAAGTAAAGTTAGACTTTAAAGTGAGAAAAACTGGGGGTGGTGAATAGAGCCTGCTGCGCAGATACAGATTGTACTGACAATTGCAATGGTCTAACTAAACATGTCAGTCTATGAGAAGTACAAAGAGACAAGGTTGAAAATCAGTCAAGTTGGTCCTCTAAATGGCTTTGAGCGATGCTACAAAGCAGCCCTATTAGAAAGTGTCCCGGTCGGAATCTGACCTTACCTTATGTAGCCCACGGCAGTCAAGCAATGCTGTTAGCTGGTGTACACTGAACTCTGTGGAGTTCAACAGTCGCTGGATCCCCAAAAGGTCTCTCTGTGTAACAAGGTATAAAAGAGAAGAGAGAATGATACACACTTTTCCACAGTCTGGTGTAATAGTCTGTCAGCCAGCCACTTACCTCAGCAGTGGGAAAGAAAGGCACCGAAAACTGCAGTAAGCCCTGGATCTGGATTTGCATGGTGGTCAGAGAACGCTGGCAGATTGTCAAAGACTGTGAAAACATAATCACCCACACACAAAGACATCCACCACAAACAATGAGAGGATCATATTAAGGACAGCATTGTTTGGGAGCAGCATGTCAACAAGTAATTTGGTGTTAAGGAAGGCTTTGTAAAGCACTTAACAAGAGGACACTTCTTTCCAGACAGATAGGCCCAGATTATCCTTCGCCACCAACAGTCTCGCCCACCAATCAAGCACCAACAAAAGAGCAATATTTATATCAACTAGGCCATCAGAGAGGGAATATTATCCTTACCGACTTAACAAGCATCATTTTGATCCCTAAATGGATGCTGTGGCGATAACTAAGCATGTGGGTTTTAATAATTATTGGTCATGGATTTATCCTTTACAAATTCCTTCAGTATACCCCACACAGATAAATGAAAAAAACAAACTAAAAAAATATTATAATACATAAGAAGTAGTATCACACTAGCTTAAATGACATGATGGAACGCAAGTGTTGAACAGTGTGTAGAGGCGAGGTGGAGCATTACTCAAGAAATAAAACCTCTTCATTGGTAAGTTTGTATTAAATTTACACTCTGTGCATCAAATCGTGACAGATTAAAGGATAATGGGGGCTGAATTCATTGTCCTATTGATGAATGTGTTCACCCCACATTATCATCTGGTGCACCTGCTCATGCACAGTAAAATGACCTTAACTGCCAAATGTTCTTTCAGAGCCATTACAGCTCCACCGCCATGTATGAAATCGACATCCAGATGTAAACCGAAGAAATAAAATGAAAGACATAATGGAGTTTTGTGCTTATTATACAACATTTTAGTCTGCTGCACTTGAAAATATGTAGTTTCTGGATAGAATCCCTGGATTAAATTCCAGGGTTGCGTGGCAGCTGTATCATTTCTATAGGTATTTTTGAGGCAATTTTAAATGCACCTGCATCTCAAGCACCAATAATTAGCCTCTATGGAATGTGCGAGGTGCCTTAATGTGTCTTTTTTAAAGTCATATATGCAAGAAGTGATGGGCAGATGTCAATAAACAGAAATAAATCAGGATAACAGGAGTTACTTATGTGCAGAGGCTGCCTTTGGGCATGATATACAGTAAACTGAATTAATTACTAACTGAAAATGTTGCTCTTGAGAATCCCCCAAGGCACAGATTATGCAGGGTAAAAGATACAGATAATTTTTGGAGACCCACATATGAAAAAGGAATATTGTTTGATCAAAGTTTATCACTTTAATTAAGTAATTAAATATGTGTTGGGGGAACTTATTTTTTTCAAAACAGACGATTAGGGCCTGATAATGATCTGGTTGCCTGGCATCTAACAAGGAAAAACCCGTTTTAACATAGCAATACATTTTCCAGTGTGTGACTCTACGTAAACAACTACACATGTAAGCAGATAGCTGAGACTTTAGACATTTTGTCAATACCTGTTGGAAGGGGTTTGGTAGATTCGGACTGCAGAACAAATAATAGTGTGCTACATCTGGATGGTGAGAGAAATAAGGAGACAGGAAGAGAGATTAGCATTGTGTCTTAATATTCAGTGGCAGAAACCTGGTATCTGTATGATTCTGTTTGTGGAGACAAATTACCTGCACTGAGGAAGTCCTTGGTTTGGTTAACAATAAACTTGTCTGGGGACACACAAAAGTCACTGGTGCCCTGTAGGAAAACAACAACATGCTGTAATCTTGCAACTATGCACCGCGAAAAGGAGCGCAGTATTTATTCAAGCCATGAACTAGATCCAATTTCTTGTGCTGCAGCGGAGTAAAACTGATTTTGCAAAGGGCAGTTATTGAAAATCTCTCAAACAACACAAACTATTTGTTTTACAACATTGTTACTATCCTTTCACTCCTTAGTCAGTGAGCCTGTGAAATGAAAGTATACACACAAACACCCTCAGCAATACAGCAGCATGCACACACCTAACACACACATATACACATACATGCATTAAACAAGCACACAGAAAAATGTGCGGTATGTAGCAACAGACCTCAGGCTGTATTGACCATGTAGAACATGTCATGCTTTGCTGACCATGGATGAAATCCATTAAATATTTTTATGCTCTTTAGTTCATCCATGGAGAGCTGGTGTGCATGCATAAACAATTAGGGGTCAAGATCACGAAGTCTCTGTGCACTTAATCTTGCCCAGAACATAAAAAGAAAGCAATATAAACAGGGCAAATAACAAAAAAATAACTTAAATAATTTCTCACACATATGCATTATTAACAGCTGGGGAAACAAATACCAGGCTGCTGTTCAAATTGATGAAGTTCAAAGGGATCTGTTGTGAAGTAGAATCAACCATTAAAGCCTAAAGCCATTTATTCCTGATAGTCTTGCGTCCGCTGCTTTTCATGTCAGCCCCAATTAAAAAGTGTCTTTCTAAAGCCTGTAATTGTTGAGCACAGCTCAAAGGGCTTTGCAGTCGATTCACATGATCAATGACAAAAACGTGCCAAAAAAGCAAGACAAGACACAAAGTCAGCCTACTGAACTTTTTTTCTTCTATAGTTAGATACTTCATTCCGACTCAATTTCAGATTAACAACATGTCTCTAAAGTCGACAGCGACCACCTGACATGTGTCTTCAGCAAAAACTGTACAGCGCTGTTAGGATGTTACCTTTCATCTCTATCTCATTATACAAGTGGGGATATTTTGTTTATGCTTCGTCTCATCAAATATGTATAAATTTATGAGCATTTTCTAGGACACCACCATCCTCTACCTTCCTTTCAAGATGCATCATGTTTTCGCACCCGGCAGTTTTTGAGTAATGTCTTTATACTTACTTTTACATACTGACACTTATTCAAACTCTATGGCTGAAGACTGAAATCCATTTCTGTGTGGAGGACTGGCCTACCTATCAATTAGGCAAGCATGGTTCTTGAGCAAATTTACCTCAGCTCACTTGTGACGTAACAGTCTGACAGTGACAGAGAGATGCATGTTACAGATGAGCTATACTCAGCTACTCTGGATAAGCCAGCCAGAGAGGTCAGGGGTTTTAATGCAGGGTCATGTTCTATAATAAGCGATGCTAAGCCACAGTACAAGATATTGGTAATCTGGCTTTACAACTGCAGAGAATCTCTGCATTCACAGAGAACCACAGGAGATGTCTACATTTCACTGTTAATTTCGAGTTGAAATCAACCACCTCACTGAAAACAGCTGTAACCAGATGTAAAATCCTGTGAGATAATCCACAGACAGGATAATTTACAGAAGGCAAGGAGATCAGGAAGAGGAGAGTGGACATGAGGGATGGAGGAAGGCTGGAAGAAAGGAGTTGCTCTTTGTTCTCCAGATAGTGTCCCTAATGCAAGCTCCATTAAGCCCAGATGTGCTAAACACATGGTGTACAAACAGGAAGAGAGAGCAATCTGTCAGAAATAAGGAGGACATAAGGAACGAGAAATAAAGCTGAGCACAACGAAAGAAGAGATTTTGAAGAAAGCCGAGCTAGTAATTAATGCTAGAAACAGCTTTGTTTACAACGTTGGGGCTAAGGGTTGATTAACCTAAAAGGCTGGGGACTTGTAATCAGCTTTACTGAATGACTGACCGTGGAAAAGCACCCGCTTTAAACTAAAAAAACATGTACAGACACTCTTTAACTGGGAAACATGTTCAAGAACACATGCTTGCTGACAGTAATACCCTCGAGACGTAATTGCATGAGGTGGGAAGCTAAATACAAGAAGTCTATGGGTTCAACTCTGTAGGTTTAAAAACAACCAACTGGTTTTGAGGGTCCACTCAAACATAAATAGGAAGTCAAGATTTAAAAAAAAAAAAAAAGACAGGGTTTTCTTACCACAGCTGTGGCAGTGCCTGCTCCCAGGGAGGCCCAGCTCAGGATCAGAGACAGCACTACAAAAGCCATGATCCTGGGGGGAAACCAGCAAATGGAAAAGAAAGAGAGAGAGAGAGACAGAGAGAGACAGAGAGAGAAAGTGGGTGACAGGGAGATATAGACAAAAACAAGAGAAGCAGATGAATCAGTTTGTCTTTGTACCAAAGATGTGCAGCCTTTTTTCACCTAGTTAATTTTGATTTATTCTTTTCAGTGTTAGCTTGGGAATTGTTCTCCTTCTGCCTGAAGACAGAGGACCAACTCACGCTTTGTACTGGTGCATCGTAGATTAGATGATACAGCCAAAATTCAATTTATCATGAAGCGATATAAAGATAAATTAACTCATGACTCCTTGCTGAATTCACTTGTTAGCTAGACTTATAGGAAACAGATCTATTTTATTCAGTAAGTTTGATTGAAGCAAACGAAATGCTCAATATAGGTCTCACAAGGCCACAGCTAAAGATAATATCACTTGCAGTCTGGTCTAGGGACTTTCCATCTCTGTATTTTGTCGTTTCTGCTCTGCTGGATTCCACTGGCAACATTTTAATTGGCTGCACTTTCTGTCAATCATGAACATATTAGCTGTCAATCAGTGTGCACCGTCACTGTCAATCACAAGCTGCCACAAGCTTTGGTTTGTCGACCTCGATTTTTATCTGCTCCCTTATGTCAGAAAAGAGTGAAAAGTTCAACAAGCCCTTAATAAAATCCTCCCCGCTATTAACCACAATTTCTTAGTGACCAATGGCTGAGTCTAGGGAAAGTGCTGTGAATTAGAATGCCCCCCCCCCGATGGGTGTAAAATGGCTGCAGAGGGCTTCTGTTCTCAGCTCCTCAAACCTTCTTGAAAGCACCAATAAAGCAGCCTGAGAGCCCTTAATAATTAGTTAAGGGAGCAGACTCATCCTGCTCGAGCGATCAATAGGCATTAGTGCGACCCATCAGAGAGGGATGTGAAGAGCGATCCTGAGCATCAACTGTTAACACTGACACGTAGTCTGCATTAAATTGGGTAAATGGGATGGGAAGTCTGGACTGTGGATTTGCTTGTCAGACGTCAGTGTTGGTTTCAATTACGGGTTGCAATTTACTAAATCAACCGTTCCTCCTCCTAATCTTTCTATTTATTCCAAAGCTTTGGAATCCAAACTTATAGTATAAAAACAACAAACTGAGCAAACTTTTGTAAAATAAATTTTAACATAGATGAAAACAGCATAATTCAGACACCAAATTTATTATTTACATTTGAAATAGTAAGAAGAGTAAGTAAATGATTAAAAACTTTAATTTAGTCGATGTCCCCAGTGTTGCATGGCAGGGAGAATACTGCTTGCAATTGGGCTCTAAATATTTTGGGAACCCTGTTTTTCTTTGGGCCCCCTGCAGTCTACTTAGTGGTGACTGAGTAGGTTTAAACTGTAATTTAGCAGTCCATAGTATGTTCAGCTGATGAATCAGCTCAATAGTGCTCCTATTTCTGTTACAAAGAAAGGCTTTGCTAAAGCAACATGCCTGTTAATTCCAGCTTGATATAGGCATTATTGTGCCCTTGACACTGAAACTGGAAACCATTCCTAGATTTGCATGTTAAGCTCCCTGTAAAGTGATTCCTTATATTCTTGTTTAATTGTTGCTATCTTAGTCTCTTTCTGCCCTTTCAAACAACTTTTTCTTGCAGTTGTCCTCTCAGCCATCGAGCTTTTGTGACAGGCGATTCCAAACTTCTGAACAATAGTGCATATATTACGATAAGGTTGCCTTTAATTGCATGTGGAAATAAAAGGCAAGTCATTGAGGAGCGCAATTAGGGCAGAGTCATTGTCAGTGCTATTGAAGATGTAATTCTATCGGTTGGTGCTGGTTGCTGCTGGAATGACCTATATGGTGCCAGAGAGGCTGACTGGTGCTCCATCAGTCTGCAGTCAGTGATTCAGGCAGAGACCAATGAGAACAGAAATGGACCACAAGGAAATAAAAAGGCTTCAGAAACAGGATAAAAAGCAAATACCTCCACATACACACTTGAGGTACCTACGTGATAAGCAGCAACCGAGACTGCTTGGCCATCCCCACGCACATTGCCAAGCAGATGACCAGATCCAGGATCAGCAACAGCAGATAGGTCAGCCATCTACGAGGCAGGAAACTGAAGCATCAGTATAACAATCCTGATTGATAACTCTTGCTTGCAGACAGCATACTTTCTGCACATGTACAAGCCTTAGGAAGTGCTGGCCCAACATATGTTCGGGACTGAATGTGTGAGGTCTGTGTACATCAGCATGCTTGTCTCCCAGTTAGAGCCCATCTGTTTCAGGTAATTTCCAGCCTGCTGGCTTAATAATTCAACACCACAAATCCATAGACATTAATTTTTCAAGCTCTGAAAATGTCCTTCACAGGAATGGCCTATAGTCAGGCTGTACTTGAAGTGTGTGTGTGTAAGTGTGTTCTGATCAACTAAACACATGGGAATGCTTATGACCTATTCTTAACTCCACAAGCCCCTGTAGCATTGTAAATCTTATGGCATTGACCAAAAGCATTGTTGTTCAAGATGTCACACAAAAAGTGCATGTTGTAAATTGACATGGACTTGCTGCTGCGTATCTGCAGTTTAGTAAAGTAAATCTGTACACCAAGGTCCTAGAGAACATGATTCACTCATGCTATGTGAAAAAAAAAAGTCTAAAGGTACTTGAATAGACTTTGAAATAAATAAATGCAGATTGGATATTCCTTTGCTTGCATTAGAACTCCAAATGGTTTTCTCTAAGCACAGGGACAGGGATGAAATCAGAAATAAAATAGGGAAGGGAAGATGTAAAATTCCCTTGTTCGAATAACACTGGGTTGTCCATAACATTTGCTGCTCGTCAGTAAAGCCCCCCTGCCACAGGCTGGTCATAGCTCAATGGCTGCATGAAATCCAATCAACACCCAAGAGATTGGTGTCAGAATGCATAAAGTGGCAACTGTAGTCCTAACGAAGATCTGGTGTCAGGATAGGAACAGCGCACCATGTGGGAATATATATGCATGACATTAACGATAGGAATAGGCCAGTGAGTCACTACCAGTGATATAACTGTGATACTTATTTGTGCTCTGTCCACCATATCTGGTTTAATAATAAATGCATAGTATTATATGGAAACTTTATTATTATTGCTATTTAGTTTTATCATTTCAGTTTATAGTTTACATTAGAGATAGTACACTCACATTCCATTCTGCTAAAGATAATTTCAGACCTTGACTAACAGAGCTATGCAGACGTTTTTGCTTTATCATTTTGCAGTCATGCACATACTGCTACAAATTTACATGGCAGTCAGCAGACTTAAGGTCATGAATTATGAATCATCTGCTCTCTTAGTTTGTTTGGATCCTGACACTAAACACCCATGCTTCCTTTGGACATCTAAAACTACAATCTTTGTATAACTGCCTCACATTCCTTGTGTTAAAGAAATCTTTATTTTCAACATCAAACTCATAAAAGTCAATGTTATAAGCATTATTATTAAACAAATTTGATAAAGGAAAGTTGAACATTTCTAAATTTAATCAAGTACATGAACATTATAAAAGTAGATCCAACCAGAGCAAGCGTATTTATTGCATTAAAAGCTCATGATGTTAAACTGAATTAAACTTTTTTAGGTGAAAGGTTTTGAATAAGTTTCTTGCAAAGGAAGGATAGAATCTTCTGGTGAACAGACTGGATATGGAGCTGCAGTCTTCCACTGCCTATCTTATACATAACCAGGGGCTAACACAACTTCCTATAGACACAGGGAGATGAGCCTCATAACAAGTGAACAAAGCCATTAACTGCTGTTAATCATCTTGCTGCACACACTTGCATAAGTAAAAAGGGATGCACAATTTCGTAACTGCAAAACTGGCATGTCGTGTATGCATTGAAAGGTCTTTGTAGTGTATGTATTTGGAGGAATCTTGTTTTACACAGAACGGGTAGTGTAGGGAGACATATGCAAATACTATTCAACCGTTTTATCAGTTGAATCAAAGTGACAAACTGAGTTTTACATTTTGCAATTTATTCTAACTAAATTTGCAACCTGCAGGGTTATGGGACGAATTTGATGAGATGACATCAACTTCAAATTTTCGCAGAACTAGCTCACACATACATGCAGATGAGCCCTGGTCCCTTTGTGTCTATAATGTATATAAAACCAATCCTTCTGCAGAAGGCACCAAATGACCCTAAATCTACCTTCTGTTCTTCAGTCTCTCCTTCCAGTTTTATCCAAATGACTCATAGATTACTGTAACGAACACGTTGCAAATGTGAGACATAACAGCATAACAACACTTTGACACATTATGTGCTCAAAAATAAAAATAAAGTTGCAGAAGCTATCAAATTACACTCACTGTTTGGAGCAGCAGCTATTGGAGCCTCATAAATTAGTGCCCTGCTGCTGAATTAATGCTGGATATTTTATTCATTTGGACTACTTTGTTGTTGATTGGGTTTGTTATTTTCTTTTTCTGTTTATTGAATTTCGGTTTTCAATACTTTGTCACACTTCCCCTTTGAAAAGAACATAGTTCTCAAAGAGAGAATCACATCAAAATAATAATTGCAATCACTGTGAGCTACGGTCTGCGGGTAAGGAGATCATTTATGGTCTAATAGCCACTCTGCCATGCATAACATTCGGTGAGAGCAATACGCGTTAGAGCTCAAACTGCACAGGGGGCAATAAGCTCAATTTCAGCTTTCATTTATTTAGCAATCAGGAAAAATAGCTTTTCCGGTCTGTGTTCCGCAGGGGAGATCAATAAAATCCCATCTGCTCTGTGTCTGGATTGGATCACTGATAGTCCCATTCTGAGTAGCATGTTTACTTCAACCACACACAGATGACATAAAATAAACGTCAGTCACCCCAGGGGAGTAACTAAGGCACCACCTACCTGTAATACTCAATAGAGGCTGTTTGGTCAGAAATAGCAGCCAAGTCAACATTGGCTTGGTTGATATCTGGCAGAACAGCCAGCTCGCGGATGACGTTATTGACCATCAGCTGCATGAAGCGCAGACTTTGGAGGTAGTCGGCCCTTGCAGAAAAGATTTCATCCAGCCGTTCCAGGTGCTGTTTGAGTCCAGTTTCCACATTGCCCAGAGATCCTGCAACCTATAAAGTAAAATAAAGATAAGACGAATGTATGAAATGAAAGAAAATAGGAAATAGTATGTGTCTGAATAAGGGAAGGTGAAGAGGAGTCAATGAGAAAACAGGGTCAGAAAAAAACATGAGCACAAAATAAATTCAAAATAAATAATAAAAAAAAAACAGATATTCATAAAAAGAAGATTGAAAATATAGAGAGAGGTGAAAGAAGCAGAGGAGTGCTCCCTGGAGAAAAGATTAACTTTTCTCCTCAACTGTGTGTTTTATTCAGGTAAACAATGTTGGAGTAGAATACAGATAACAATACCAGGGAGACCTGTTATCACAGGGGTCTTTGATTGTGAGAACAGGGTGGGAGGGGGCATGGTGGAGAAGAGTAAATACATTTTACTTTTCTGTTTGAACAAAAAAAAAAAAAGTGATGTAGTAAACGCCTGCACTTTCACAGCATCAATAGAGCTGGAAACAGGTCAATCTTAGCCTGATGCTGACAGGGGGAAAAAGCTTATACCATAGCCACATTTCGTTGAGAATCACCTGCACAATAGCTTGACCCACTTATACAGATACTTTATTTCCGTGGCTTTAAAGGCATAATCTACTCTGCAAATAAAAACAAATGGGTAACCCTGCCATCCAAATTGAAAATATGTGCTTGAAACCTGCTGTCCCTCAAAAAACAGGCTTTGAATTTGAATGTCAGTCAAGATTTTTGACTGTGTGGGTTTAATATTCATGTCACATGTATGTAGTTAGAAGAAAGAACATTCCATTTTCTATTTTTTAGAGGAACAGTTCAACATTTTGGGAAATACGCTTTCTATATTCACTTTCTGGATAGTTAAATGAGAAGATCAATACCATTCTCATGCCTGTCCGTCATTTGTAAGGCTACAACCAAGAGCTTGTTATATTAGCTTAGCATAATGGTTCCCACCATTTTTTATTAAGGAACCCCTTTTCTATCATTGGATAAACTGACGACCCATGATAAACTATACAATGAATGGACGCAATAACTGCAGAAAGTTTGTGTAAAAAAGCAATTTGGAGGAAGTTAGAATATGATATTTTTAGGATTTTTTAATATTCTATATATTATATTCTTTATCTGTATTATGTATTTTCTTTATTTTGAACAATCGTTTATACTTCATAGGCTTCTTTTTCGACAAATTCTCCTTCCTGATTACCTTGGCCATTGTTGTAATAGCTTAATACTTTTCTAATGCATGATGAGGTTGTTGTTGCAAAAACTGAAGGCTCTGTGAATATAGTATGTGTTCAGGATCTTGTGTTCAATAATAATCTAAAGATTAAAAATAACAATTTGATATAGTTTTCTTCAGAGAAATTAACAAAACGCTAATAATATAGGCCTAACGTAAATATATTTAAAGTTTTCTTACACCACTTAAAATCAAGAAGTACTGCGTATTGATCTTCTCATCTTACTCTTACTCCCACAAGGTCTAACTAAGGCTGGAGATTCTGGATTAAATAGAAACAACGTCTACCATTTCTGTGCACAATTTAGCAAGAGGACCCTAGTTTTAAAAGGACATACATACACTACCCACACCACAATGACTTTGCTAGAACAGTATACATTAAAGTGAGTAGGAAGCTCCACTAATTCTGAACAGATGTTGCTTTCTGTTTTCTAATCCGAGGCAGTTTGCAACAGTCCCACTTTCTTTATCTGTCATCTTTTCTCCATTACACCCGTGACTTCTTTAAACACATTCAAGTACTCTGAGTAAGACTGTTCATTCACACGTTACGAAAACTCTCCACAAAGAAGATAAATATAAATATAAATAATCTCAGTCTCCTTGACTCTGTAACATTTCAAACACTCTTGATTCAATTCTACTGAGTGGATGCTTCTGAGGGTTTCTAAGCAAGACCCCAGAAAGACTATCCATGTGGAGATGAGGCAAAGATAGAGGCCCATCCTCCACTCCAGCATTCCTAGGAGGGGGAGTACTGTATGTGATTGCCAGTAAACTGCTCTCACTCCCCACCTCTATGTTCATCATCTCTCACAGCTCCTGCCACAACGCTCTGAATCTTATCTGCAAGCCTGTACGTCTGAGTGTGAGAAATGGGATCCATCAGCTAGCTGCTCTGGGTGATCCACATTTCCCTAATCTGGACCGTCCCGTCTTCCCTTAAAATGGATTAAAGCTCACTTTTACTGAAAGCGGGTCACAAGGAGGCTTCTCCATATTGGACATGCCTGTTAAATGAGACTGACTGATTCAAGGCTCAAAGCAGTACTCCAAGTGCCAGTTCACATGCAACTAAGCCGTTCTGCTCGATGCCTTCAGTGATTTTATATATCTGAGATTTACTGTATTAACTGTGACAATAAAACAATATATATGATGACAGGGGTTTAAAGCCCAGGAAGGTAATCAATAGAGAAATAGGACACTGAGGAAAGACATTCAGGGGAATTGATATATGGTGCAGAAAGTAGTAATCATTTTGTTCCAAGCATCACAAGACAGCTTTCACTTTCAAAGAGGAAGAGCTATATATAAGTGTAACCCGCAGTTGTAAATTGGAAGCAGACATTCTGATAAATTGTGATTGCCGTGTTTCCTCATCTATTACTTCCAGGCAGCACTGAGGAGCTCTTAATATTGCAAATCTGAAAACTGGAAATAAAGGCTCAAATAAAGAATGCCTGCAAACAATCACCCCTCCCCCCTGCCCCCAAAAGGCATAATGGTCGCCCTCATCAAATCGTTCCCTCTATGACACATGATGATCCCTTGCAAAGTGTGAGAGTACATATTTTATGATGATGAGAGCTTTAACAAGCCATCAGTACAGCCAAACAGCTGCTACTGTAAATCTATAACCTCACAGGAACCTTGTGAAGAGATTTGGTCGCTTTTGTTCTGACTGTACTGGACAAATCTGATATCAACCCAGTGTGTGAAATACTACAAAGGAAATGTCAAATGTTAAGGCATCAAGGTAAAGCCAACTACTGAAGTGATTACTTTCGAACCAAGGTAATAGATAGACGCATGAAGGGATGGTAAAGGATTTGGTAAACCAATAAAGATCAGTGCAGATATTACTCTCTCAATCACAAGACTATACACAGACTAAGCCAGTTTTAGCTTTATGGGGTAGACAGCCAGCCAACTCATCAGCTCTGTGGTGTACATTACACCCAGCTATGCTTTTGCAAGTGAGAGAGCCTTTGTTTCCCTGGGGAACATCTATGTTTCAGATGCAGCCATAGTATACATCATGCTACAGGATCAAATCAATACCAAGATACAGCAGAGAGAGAGTCGGTAGCAAGGATGTGAAATCATCATTGTTGAATCCCATTTATTCCCTCCAGCACAAAGAAATTGCTGTGCTGCAAACTACACCCCTTTTACAGGTTATTTGTTACACCAGATGAAACTAAATGCAGTCCAATACAATATCCCTGAAATATATACTGCTTTTATAAAGGTTAGAATCTTCAGATCTACAGATTGATTCAACTGCATGGCCATTTTGGAGGGCGTACTTTGTGATGCTGCAGAATATATAACATTGCATTATACTAAAATATTTTATTTTATCAATGAGGGTAGGGTAAAAATAGCTTAAATGACAAAGAAATTAACATAAAGTTGAAACAACCCCATCTCTAAAACAGTTTCAACAAAAACTGATTATAAGCTTCATGATTATTGCAGGACTGTAAGTGTATATTTCATCCCTCCTATCCATCCTGACCCAAATCACACAAATCAATGTGTTAGATACAAACAAATTAAACCTTAATCTGTTCTCTCTACAGTGATATTTAGCATACATGGACAATGAAAAAGCACACATTAATCTGTTTGTGTCCACACATGAATACAATATGTGTGCATCTGAGGCCTTTAAGTGAATGTGTGATACTGACACACACACACACACACACACACACACACACATACAGTACAGATAGTAAGACTGAGAGAGATGGAGAGAGGAGAGGCTTAACATCCATTAATGCACTGCAGATGGGAGTTAATCCTCTTCTTCCTCATTGTGATTATTGCTTCTTGCAGGGCCTTGTTCTGACTCTTACACTACTTCCTCTTTCCTATTCCCTCCTCCCTCTCCCCCCTAAGCCTCCCAAATAACTTCCCTGAATGCAGGTCAGGAGTTGAATAGAAAAAAAATCCCTATTTACAAATCCTGAGGCAGCAGTCACCTCAATTCCTTCACTGTGACAAAAAGCGGATACAGACCCCCCGTAGGGAGGTACTGCTTTGAAACAGATGCACACCCCATTAATAGAGGAGGGGTCTTGGTGCTGTAAATCACTGTTTCCAAGTAGAGTAAGCCATTAATACCATGCTTTGTGCAATCGTGGTAGATAAAAAAAATTTGGGAATTGAATATTAGGAGCATGAGACAAGTAGTTGTTTAATACAAAATGATTGTTCATATTTTGTATAGCACTGACACATTTATTGCCTAGTCAACTTACAAAGAATGGAAAATTATGAAATTGTAACTGATATAAATAATGCTGATATGCTTGTACATTATATCAACGAGCTTGGCACGCTTCTCTCACCAGATTGTTGATGCCACCCAATGTGTGATTGGCATTGTAGAGCGAGTAGGTCAGCTGGTACACCCCATCGTTGGTCTCACTGTTTCCATAGAAACCCACTCCTACGGCAGAACTGTGAAAAAGGCAAGAAACAGATAAAAATAAATAAACATAATTAATTTGCTTTTTGTTTTCTCATTGTACTTTTTTAAATCATGGATTGCATTATATTATTAAAAGACAGGTAAAGAGGCTTTTGGGGAAATATATATATCATACCAGTAAAGGTTTTGTACTGTCTTGTCCTCACCATTGAGCCTTTGTTATTGTACATTAATAGCCTCAAACATGCTACAGGCAACTGGAAAAAAAATCATGAATAAACAAATGCATCTTTCATTAGATAGTCAACAAGTTGTTTAAAAAATGACTAAAAAAAGACTATTAGGATTATGAGTAATAGTCAGCCTTTTCATCAGTTTTGTATTTGTCAGATGTTTTAATAAAATCTGCTCAAAATAATATATTTTCTCCTATGCCACTCATGTCTTCATCTTCCCTTCCTGGCATATGGGCTGGGACATTGTAAAATTGGTGCTGGTATGTGAAAGACAACATTTTCATATTTGTCATATTTCCTCCCTCCTACCACCCATTAGTACCTCCATCTGTTTTGTTTACCCTTTTCTCTCTCATGCACACACAAGTTATTAAACCTCTTTTTCTAGCAGAAACTTCTAATTTGTTATCCCATTCATGGCTAAAACCACATCAGAATTCTGTTCAATATCTGGAAATATATCCGAGTGGAATACACAGGATCCTTGTTTCTCACCTTCCTACAGTCTGAGACTGTGCCTGAGCCTCTGTAATAGGGAGGATTGGTGTCCTAACCCCCAGAGTCGGTATACCCCTACTGCTAACAGTCTACAGTGACATGAGCAAGGAAACAATTTCATCATACTTGATTGCAGTGAGGGTCACTCTACATAAAGGTCAGAGGTTAGTAACACTTTGAACCACATTTAGGGGCAGTTTCCATAGACAGAGGAGGGAACACATCCATCACACTTCAGATAGCAGAAAGTCAGATCAGGACTGACAAACGAACACAAAAGACGAAACTAACTTTACTTTCACAGTGACTTATATGTCAAGCACTTTTAACACAATCTGTTCTGCTAAACGGAACAAAATACACAGCCAGTCATAGACACAGGCCAGGTTAACACTCATCCTACGCAGTGAGGCAAAGACAATGAAGGAAGATAGTTAAGTGCAAAGACAGGATGTTGCGTCTTATTTTATTTTAGCATTTAATACATCCTGTCAGGGTGTGTGTGATATGTCAGTGCATGGGTGTGTTTCATTTTGTGTCTGCCAGCATCCTTTCACTGTAACCTTGTAAGCATAATGAGAACCACCTCCCATGTCTCCTCCATTAAACTAGTTCCCTCTGGTTATGATTAGGGGCACTGGGAGCATACCTTGCACAATCCAGACTGAGCAAAAAAAGATACAATTACAGTCAACCTCACAACCCCAAAAGCATGTATGTGGTTATAAAAATGACTTCTGGCTTTACGCTTTTCAAGATATTTGTGTTCCAGCTGATCCATGACGGCCTGGATAATGAGTTCTTCATTAACCCTCTGGCCAACCTAGTGACATGTCAGCAACAATAAAGACCCACTAATGACACAGTAATGATACAGTAATGACACGGGGCGTGGGGCAGTTTAGCCTCCAGGGTAGCATTAGTGTGTTTTTGTGGCTGTGGAAATGGCTGTTTGCAGCAGCTAGAGGTGTTATACCCAACACAATAAACAATAGGACTACAACATATGTGCACCACAGGATATTTAGTGTCTTTGTTCCTCTGAGGAGGTATCACTTCACAGAGTGACTGGACAATTCTACCTTTGTATTCAAAACTGAGATGAACGAATGGCCAGGATGAACAAGAACAAGCAAATAAATGCCTTAATTCTATGGAGACTAGTGCATTGCTGCTTTAATAAACTGTATCAGGGTTAACAGAGACCGACACAGGGATGTAGAATATTAGATTTGTTTTCTATCTTTAACCTTAATTTACCCCCCTCATTCTCCTGGGGTCAGAAATACTCATTCTGAGAGGTGTAGCAGCTCTTAAATCCTTTGAGTTCTGCAGTGCAATGTAATTCTTCTTGAATGTCATGCTGAATTAAAAGCTGGAAAAAGTCAATGCAATGATCATGATAAAATTTTTTATCTTTGTTGAATGACATGAACGTACATTTCTACTCATTTTAGCTAATAAAAGTCCCATGGCCCACATAATAAAAGTATGTACCAGTTGAGACCCATATTTATATGAATCTCTTTGTGTTTCTCTAAAAAACCTCCTTTGTTCCCAACAGAACAAAAACCATCAGATATATGCAGATAACAACGCTAGGCAATAGGTACATAGGATTAAACATTAAAAGCATGGCAAGAGGAACAACTTCTCAATCTCAAGACAAGGACAAAATACTGTTAATACTGGAAAGTAGATTTCCATGTAGAGGGATAAGCCAACACTAAAAGTGTTGTGCTAAAACCTAACCTAAAGACTGTCTGTTCAACCTCATACTAATTTATGGCTTAATTATATAATTGGAGGCTGTATGCTGTAGCTTATTTGTTGAACTGAATATATTAGCGTCCACTGGAACAAACTTGTACAGAGAGAGATGAGAGCTCTGAGCAGAGGCTCGAGAACAGAGCATCTTTGCTAAACAGCGTCATGCCCAGTCACTTAACATTACAACAGGCCTTGTGTGCTGTAGCAGTAGCTCAGTACGGACACAGAAAGCTAACAAGGTTAAATACTGACACTTAGATAAATGTCACAAGTTTAAGCAGCTCTGTAAGCAATCAAGCCTTTTTGGAGACTCATTTGTTCTCTTTCATTTCATAATTTTTGTGTATTAAAAGTGTATTAAATCATACACAAAAATACAATTATGTCCGGAACAGAAAGTTTAATGGGAACTCTCTGCTTCTTTATGCCTGCGTAACTTGGCAGTACAACGAAGATAGTTAGAGAATACAACCTGTGACAAATGAGATTTTGGTACAGTAAGCATCATAAACAGTCAGCAATGGAGTGAATATATTGTGAAAGCACAATATTCAAAGGCTTAATCCAAGGCTGCAGCATAATGGCTTGGTGGAGCTTTTAAATGCATCAAGCTAAGCAATCATGGGTCAAGGTTTTGCTGGCCGTAGTCAGCTGACCAGTCAGCAGAAGGATTTAGAGGTCTCATCACCTACCAGTCAGCTGATTGCCCTGCTGATGATACGGCCTGTCAGAAATACGCCAGCTTTATTTGTAGTCTTTAGAAATAAACAGTTGAATCTCGGTTAAAGGCAGGTAACGTTTGTTATAGCTTATAATACTGTTAACTTGTATCCCTAATTTGAGGATACTAACAAATCTGACTCTGTATTAAACCTTTATATGGAATAAACAGCAGATAGGGCCAAGTCATTTGACTCATATTTGACTTTGAGCATAATTTTTTTTTTTTTACAGTCCCTTGCTTTTTTCATGTGAGCCTAGATGTCCACTCAAGCTACAGTATATTGTCCCTGTTCTTCCTGTTTGTCTAGTGGACATTTTTGTTGGTTTAATACAGAAAATCCCCCAAAAAACCCACAACCTTCAGTCATTAATGCTCGTGTGTAGAGCTACTGATCAAGGCCACAGTGGTACAATAGTAGTACATAAGAAACACAATGGCATTATTTGACCATATCACCCATTCAGACTCACCATATGATGAGACCTGTGATGACGGCAGTCCAGGTGACACAGCAGGTCTCAGGCCTTTTGGTGTCTTCATCTATGTCCTTGCGACAGCAACACAGGCAGACCAGATATACTGCCAGAACCAGCAGGCTCAGACCCAGACCCACTGCGCCAACACACGCTAGAATTATCAGTGACTAAGGCAGGAGAGTGGAAATAAGAAGAGGCAAAAGACAAAAATGTAGTTAAAGTCAAGACTAAGATATCATTTTACATTGAATATGTTTACCATAAACTTTTTTGTCAGCAGTTATACCACAAATATATCTGAAGAGGCAGGCAGCTGTTATGGTGGTCTTGAGATGTCAAGATGGGTGACCCCACCACTTCAAAGGTTGACAGCACTGAGTGAAAACAACCCCCAAGTATCTAACAACACTTGTGTAAAGATATGTGCAGCTATCCAGTAATCAACATTATCACTGCTGACTTCTGCCTACAGCAAAGAGGTTAGAAACTGAAGTTGGTGTTCTTGGTCAGTAAAGAGGGCCTACAGAGAGAATATTGATTTTCATTTTCTTTTGCAAAGTGCCACAGCAGAACCTGGACTGTGACTCAGAGGAAAACAGAAATGGTCCAAGGCTGTGGGAGGGGAACACCATGTGACACAATGGCTTTCATTCAGTCTTGTGATTTCTAAGTGTAGGAAATATTTAAAGCCTGAAGGATGAAGAGAAAACAGTGATATAGAGAAAGTAGGAGTATTGAAACAGTCTGCAAATGGACACTCATTGTAAGCAGACTATTCCATGATAAATCCCCATGGTCTTCTGATTTTTCTATTCACTGAAAAGCTTTTATCACTACACAGTGAAGAAATAGAAAATTAGTCGTATATATGCTCCAAGGCAGACAAAAAGGGAATTGTTTATTTACATCAGATTATACATGGGGAGGCATTTCTTGCCATTGCAATATATCAGTTTATAATCCTGTTTAGTTTCTTACCGACATGTCATATGACCATTCTATTGAGCAAACATACTTATAGTTTTCTGTAGCTTATTTCCCATTGCATAAGCTATCTTAAGGCAGTAGACACATCAATTGAGTTGTTTGTCTTCATAGCAGCATCATACAAAAAACCTCAAGTGTTTACACTGGATGGATGATACTGGATGAAAAAAACAAGTCCGAACTGGGATTCCCCTATAGTGTTGATCACTACTAGGAACATTAAATTTAGTGTGCTTAAACTTACACCATTGAGCCATTTGGTCACAGTAGTTTAAAGACAATCAAAAGAAAAAAAAAAAGCATGACCTTGATTTTACTTGCAAATAATTTGCACATTAGTTTTAATGCTCACAAGTTCAGAAAGTCTGGGTCTGGCTGACTAAGCAGAGCTATTCCTCGACTACAATGTCTGTAACTAATTATTCCATTTGGATGACATTGACACTGTGACTGAATTTAAATGATATTCTTTTGCATATTCTAACATACTTCTTTGTTGCTCAAACTTTGGTTCAAGCTATGCTGTGCTGAGCCCTAATCAGTATATCAGTATACAATTAGAAATGACATCATCAGACTTTCAACCTGAGGTAGGCTGACAGCAATTACAGTAATAAACAAACCAAGCCTCAAAAAATGCCATCATATACCCAAATTAACAGTTAAATGTAACTGCACTGGGGGAAAAAAGTTTATGTTCTACCCAGTGTTCCTTTAATGAAATAGGTCAATACAGACACGGTGCCAGCTAAGCTGCCTTACCTTAACTTGCACCCAGGCCAAAACCTTAATCCAATGATTTGCTAATGATTGGTTTTTAAGGACACTGTTGATGAGCCAAGAGTCGCAGTGTGCAGAGTTTTACGGTGGTTTCAACCCTACTTAGATTTCCTGTCACTATAACTCAGGCCTTTCATTCACACAATGCTGCTAGTTCCACTCTCTCCTCTAATTTTCCACTCCATTGTTTTGTAATTAGACATGCAGGCACTTCAATTTCCACCCGTTACAATGCCATAACAAAGCAAAGGATGCATGAGAGAAAGGAAGAAAAAGAGACAGAAAACAACTACAGTATCTGCAGTCGTTGACCGGAAGGTCATTGATCTTTAATCTCCTCAAAAGGATGTTTGTGAAGCAGGCTTAAGAATGGTGTCTGTCTAATTTAATTAAGCAGAAAACAACATGCCTCAGGAAATCTGTCTGTAGCCACTCTGCACTCCCCACTTTCCTCAAAAGACAACAGACCAGCATGTCAAATGAAGAGTTATTTTACAGCTTGAGAGGCTGTATCAGCCCTATAGAGTACCAACAGTCTCTGTGACGCCAACATGGCACTCTTCACCCCTCAATGATGGGTGCTCAGCTGAGCCAGTGTGACACTGCTGGGAATCAATGACCCAGATGGACCTTGTTACATGGAAAGAGAGGTACAGTGAAGGGCACAAGTCAGATCTTGAAAGTTGTTAGTAATAGCTTCTGTATTCATGAATGACCAGGGGCAAAAGGAGTGCCAAATGGATACGCACTTACAGACAGTTACACACAAAAACTCAGTTTATTTCATGGGGGTTCATGGCCCATGGGGTTGTCTTATTTTGCAAGATAGTTCAGAAAGTAATGGGTGTAAGGAAACAAATATGCCCACATTTTTTTAAAATTAGATTTGGAAACAGTATTTTCTGTTATGAAACAAATAAACAATACTACAATACTGATAATATTATTACCAGTATTGTATCATACATTGAATTGAAACTTTGCCTTTGACCCATCCCACGCACTAGGCACCCAGGGAGCAACTTGGGGTTTAGTATCTTGCTCAGGGACACTTCGACATGGACAGGGCGACCTAGGAAACTGAACCACCAACCCTGCAGTAACCCACTCTACCTATTTAGTTATTTTAAATTAAATTTACGCCCGTCAAATGATGTTGTTGTGATATCATGTCTCCTTTTTTGCATTGCATTATACTATGTGGGGATAAATCCAGAAACACTCATTCGTAGACATATACATTATACACCATTGTAGGAGGACAAACAGAAAGAGAAAAAAATGTCCATAAGTCCATAACATAAATGCAAAGTATTATAAAAAGGTGACTTTAGATGGAAAACTATAGCCACTGTCCACTTTTTCTTCCCAGCATGCAGCCTATTTTATTTATAATGACTCTGATCCTGCTGGTGCAGCCAGTCCCGATCACCACACATGACAGTTTGGGACCTTTAATGTACATGGCCTCAAATGACCAAACAAAGGATGTGCTGTGTCCCTCTAAGCAGTGAATTTACTGAATGCAGTCATATACAGACACAGTGCATTGTTGTTTACCACCTGAAATATTTCATAGCCCAGTTAATACAGATCATGTGTTATCATGTGAGAACTGCAGGGGTTCTTACTTCCTGACACAAACACTTGCAGCATTTGAGTGACACTGATGCATCCCAGAAAGAGTCAAAAGAAAAAAGTTTTATCACTCAAGACAGAGGTTTATCAAGAAACTACTTTTGTTTAACTGTACATTTACATCTCTTGTTTACCACTGTTGAAAGTCAGTGGTACAAATAACTCTTATGTCTGGTGAGATTCTTTTGACTCTCCGTGCGCTTTTACGCACAAGTACAGTTACTAACCTGCTGATAGCTCGCCTCCTCCGGTTTGAAAGTGTTGTCGACCGACTTGAAAAAGAAATTGAAGTGAGGGAAATTGTGCAGCCAGTATGTCCACCACGGAGCGACGTAATCAAGCCTTGCAGTGGCCATTGTTACTTGGAAAGTCAGTCCACCGAACCGCTGACCGCACTCTTCTCTTTGAGGAGACCTTGGCACTCAAATATTCCCAGGCTTTTTCAAAGGTAAAATAATAATAATAAACCAATAAAAAAAACGCGCCTGAACTTAAGCAGAGAATATTAAAGAGGAAGTTCTTATTTTGCCAGTACGCCTCAGAACAGTTCTGAATATTACTTCTTCCCACTCCGCTTCCCATAGATCTGTGTGAACTGCTGACTTGCGCAACTACAAAAAAAAAAACATATCAGCTTCAGTGCGGGCCAAGCGTTTGTATCCGAGACACGGGATCGAGTGACGATATGAACCTGCCTCCTTGAACAGAGAAGGCGTGACACTATTTTTCGGTCAAGTTATGCCAGGTCCTCTGTAGACTTTGACCTATGAGAAGTAAACAATAATATGTGGACCCTCTGCACTGACAAAATGTGAACAAAGAATCCCCCCAACTGAATAAAAAATTGAACAATTAAGATAATGAAACATAGAAAAGACTTACTGATCACAAGTTTGCATGTCACGGTTTTAATCATCAACCCCCCCAGGAAACTAATAATACATAATAAAATGTGTCGTGTAAAAATGTTAAAGAGCACTGCACCCTGCCTGGCCTCGACTTATAGCTGCTGTATTTGGCGTAAGGAGGCAGGGGTTGTTAGTGCACTATTTATGACTTGTGCTGTTAATGTCTGACCTCTTGTGGACAACGAGGCGCACTGAGGTGAACAGTAGGCTAATGAGCATGGTAATGAGATGCTGGGGCCACTGGTTTAGCATGTTGGTTTCTGCTTTTATTTACAGTGTGATGTTTTGTTGTTGTTTTTTTTCTCTCTTTTTTCCAGTGGTGAAAGCTGAATTTACGCCTGTTTCAGAATCACTACAGTAACTGTAATAAACATGCATGGATTTATGTCTTGAGCAGAAACACTCTCTTAGTTACAACAAGTGCGGGCACATATGGTGCTTGAATAATCAAAATCTCTTTTTTGGTGCAAAGGCATAATAAGGCACAATACAACACAGTAAACATCTAAAGCACAGATATCAAATAATTATCACTACGTGAATTCATGCAGCATGACATACAGATGGTTATATCTGTGGAGACTAACAGTGCAGAGTGGTACTGTTTATGATGTAATACATGGAAAACTGCATAGGAGTTGGAGCATATGGACCTTAACTGGATACCACTGGATACCAAGGTTGGTAAATATTGAAAAATGTAACCATGAGAGAGCAATTAGCAGCATGAGTGGGGTTACAATGAGCTATGTTGAGCATAGCAAGGACTCCTGGGAAGAGCCTGATGATGGGGAAAGTCGAAACCAGTGCTAATGTGTTGGTATCATGTCTCAAAGTGTCTTTAAAACTGTGTAAAATATGTAGTCTGAACCCTGGCATGGGGAATGGTTGGCCGTTGGAAAATAAATGGAAAATGGATGAAGAAGACAAATGATAAAAGTCAGATTCATTCAATTCAATTACACAACAACATAGTTTATTTGCCAGCTTTAACCTAGACACATACAGTTATTATTACTTGTTTTATGAAGAATGTTCTGTAGATAAATTTTACAGATGACATTTTATCTTTATTATATTTTTTTCTGTAAATTTGGTTGGTCTGGTTAATTTTTTTAAAGAAAAAGTTAAATGCTTTCAGAACTGCCTACAGTATTATCTGAATTAGATCTATAAATGGGTCATTTCTTTTGGTTAACCATATTGAGATTCCAAATATTATTTAAAAACCCATTGTAAATAGCCTAAAGTATATTTAACATACTGTTACAGACAGACTAGACTACTACAATACCATCACTCGGTAATGTAAATAGAAAACCATGGGAAACCAAATGAAATAAAATAAAAGTCAATTTTCAAAGGTTTCACTGGGAGATAAAAGTGAAAATGAAAACCTGTCATATGTATTTTGCCCAGAGGAAGAGTTGTTTTTATCTGCACAGAGCGGTTTACTTGCAAGCTAAACCATCTTGATGTCATATGGTCACCGCTGTAATTATTTGGATGCTTTGATGCACCTCCACGGCCAGAGTGAGCCAGAGTGTGCTCTGAGTCTGAATACTTTGAGTAGGTGACACTTGAAATACACTGTATGAATATGAATTCCTGACTGTGCTCTGCATTCACAAACACTTGGATTTGGTGCCAAAAAACTCTCGGGTGATTGCAGTGCCAATCACTCTCAGTGTTTGAACCGAGGGACCAATGTAAAAAGGGGGAGTGACATGAATAAGAGCACCTCTGTTTGTGTCTCTTAATTCAGACCTTTTGTATCAAGCCTCCTCGCCTGCTGCTCATTTATTCTTGTTATCTCGGTGTAGACAAACCATATCACACCCACAAATCACATCGATGCTCTGTGTGAACTTGTACCCCAAGGATGTATGTAGTTAGGCCACAAAGCACTTAAGTCTTATTTTTTTATTTCCAGTCAGGCCAATTGATGTTCTGAGTCTAATTAAACTCAACTATGTGAGTGTACCTTTGAAAATCAGTGTGTAAAATATTTTACCAACACCACTGGGGTTTGGTTCTTGCAATGGATTTATTATAAATGTCTGCAACTGGGCAGTGGATAAAAAGCCACCACCATTTGGGAAATTGTTACGAGTTTCATGCAACACTTCCCTACACAGACAATGAAGCTGAGCCATTAGGTGGCAGCCCAGCACTTTTCTGTAAGGCTGAGAACCTCCTGCTTCCACACTGTCCACCGGTGTCCTCTGGTTGTGTATCTGTGAAGAACAAAATCTCAACCCATCATTGCACAGAGCTCCTTTGTGCATAATACTGTCCATAAAGTGAGATCTAATGTTAATGAACTGTGGCTTATAGATCGGATTCACTACTCTCATGGGCCTTTCATCAGAAAGAGTCTCTGGGGTGTGCCATTTGGGCACTGATGTTACAGGAAATACATATCAAAGAGGACTTTGAAGTCAAGTATCTTAGACCGCACAATACACCTGTGGGCTGTGAAGGAATAAAGTCATATAGCGAGTGACAAGTCTCAAGGTCAGTAGTATTCCAAAGACTCTATTTTAATGTTTCACATAAGGTAAAAAAAAAAAAAATGCTGAATTTCTAATCGTCGGCAAAATATTCCTTTAGGAACAGGTGATACTCCAACCTTGACTTCTGCGGGCAGCCACGTTTCACCCAGAGCCGACTGGAACTGTCTTGAGAATAATGTCACAGCCCTGACTTGAATTACAGAAAAGTCCAATTGAACTTTTCGATAAACCTGCTTTTTTTTTTTCTCTCGTAAAACCTTCCATGAATGTGTAGAATAAGAAATGTATGAGATGCATCCACACACTCAGACACAACTACAGTATGTGCAGTGGTTTGCAGACATAATTTTCATGAAAAGGTGGAGAAAAAAATACTCTTCACAGTCCTTGTAGTTATATAGTTGTTGCTTCTTCCTCATCATGTGCTCAAGTGTCCTCAACAAGCGCTGAATTTACCTCCTGATTGACTGTCTCCATAACAATCATAGGGATGATTGGTTCATTTAAAAGTGTTTTGAAGAGCCTTGTGCCCTATCTCCTACTTCCTGTACTACTGGGCTACTTCCAAGCCATAACGGTTGCTACTCAGTGGAATGTAGAAATGTGTTGTATTGGACGTTTCCTCCTTCATGGTTATTGCTTTTTTGGATTTGTGACTCAAATCCCTTTGCTCTATTTTGAGTGATTTATACATATGAATGAAGATTTATGCCTGAGAGCTCAAGTGTGCTGGTATTATCCAATCAAACTGGGCTGCTCAGTGGCTCCTGAGATTGCATTAAAGTGTAATATCAATGCAGCAATCCTCGGGATATTGCCACTTTGAAATGCCCAGGGTCCCTCCGATGCTACAGCTGCATGTTATGATCAAGGGAATTTGTCTATTTAGTCTTAATGTTTCATGTAGGAGCTTGCTTTGGTAAATTAATGAAAAGTTGACTACAATGTTTAATTTATTTCATCAATGATTGCATCGAGAGAGAAAAAATGAAATGTCAGAGCAGTACAGGTGACCTAAAAATAAACGAATAAAAGCAAGTACAATCAGTCCCTCTACATTAAATTGAATAGAACAGAGTCCCTGGAACTTATTTCCTAAAGAGTGTCCTCATTGAAAAAGAAACTACATTTATTTATTTTAACGTCTTACCTTAGATTTCTTTAGACTTTATAAACATATTTCATTGGTTGCAAAATTGGATGGCTATCTCCCAACTGTGACAAAATAACCAAGGCTCAGCAAGCACTTTGTGTGGAGGTGTTCTACTGAAACTAAATGTAAACACTTGTGTGCAATCTGTACCCTCAGAACATTGCAAAATGGTGCAAAGAAGGAGATGAAGTAAAATATTCTGTATATTACAGCTTTGCAAGGTGTTCCAAGGGGTTTGTTAACAAGAAGAGGTTGTTCTCTCATTCTCTAGCCAAAACATGCACACTTTTTTTTTTATTATTATTATTATTGTTCCATCACAAACTATACACCTAATAATGGTTTTTCAATTCTGTCAAGAAGACTGTCTTGAACCTTTTTTGTGTTTGTGTTTGTGTTTTTTATTTTTTCCAAAATGTGTCTTCAGCGTGCAAATGCTTGGGGCCCAAATGAAACCTTTAGTGTGCAAAGCACTCAGACCCCCCTGAGATCTATCCCTCCACTCATGTACCCATGTTGACTGTCTATTCTGCTTGGTTTTTCAACTCTGTGTGTGGTTAGGCATTCAAAATGAGAAACTCAGACATTGGGGCTATGTGAGACAGCAGCTTTGATGTCATGATTATACTATTATTTTATACAGCTACCCTGTGCTATAAGGGCTATTTCATACAGTAATGATTTTTGTGAGGAGAAAAAACTTAACTGACATTGGCACATTTGTCCTTTTTCTTATTCCCCTGCAGGAAAATGGCTTTTTTAGCCTGCAATTTATCCAATTACAGATTTACAGCAGTGCAAAGTCGACCATATGATACAGCCTAAGTCTATTTTTCAGTCTTTGGAGCAAATCCAATCATTCCAAATGGTTGCTGATGGTAATAATTGCAACAGCATTGTATTGATCTAGCGGGTCCATGGAGTGGAAACAAACAAAGCACACAGAAAAAAGGAGAGCATGCTCCTTGTGTGCAATAATATTTGGTTTGTTTATCTGGCATTTGTGAAGATGTAATAGTAAAGTATTAAGATAAAGTACAGGC